TAGGAGTGTCCACGAGGAGAACGTCTGAGAGGTTGCCTCTTCTGTTCAGCCTCATAGGCGTGTACAACTGAATTTGCAGACTTGAGAAGTTCCTTCCTTGGGAACCATCGGTCCTCTGTGTGAGGTTGGAAAAGGAACTTCACAAGGTATTCACAGTTGGGGCCTGTGCCCCACTGATCTTCGATGCTCTCAACTTCGTATCCCTTTCCAGGGATTGGGGGTCCAAACTGCGGGGGCCTATCAGGGAATGCATCAACATACGTGAAAGGCAGCAATTTTGAGGCATGGAAGACCGGATAGGTCTTGATATGAGGCGGTACAGCAAGCACATAGGAAGGTCCAAATGGATCTGCCCCCACAGTATCAAGTACCTGCCATGGGCCATAGTAGACATGCAACAACTTTCTTGAAATATCCTGCTCATCAGTTAGTTCAGATCTTTTCACCCAGACCCAGTGACCTGGCCGAATAGTAGAGGGAGAGTGATGCTTATTAGCCTGTTCGATCATCCTCTTCTGGGCCTTGAACATGTTAGTTCTAGCTTTCTCTAGGTCTTTCTCATAACTCTTGGTGAACTCGGTCGTGCCAGGAGTTAGTTTAGGCTTAGACTTATCGATCAGATCATCCAGAGGTTGCCTGGGGTCTCTTGCAAAGTGTAGCCTGTAGTGTTGTGAACAGATGTATTATACATTAGTTGCGCCCGTGACAGATGTCTGTCCCAGTCCTGCTGATCAGGCGTGATTACAGGGCGCAGCAACTGAAACAAGACCTGGTTCATCACTTCAGCCTGTCCATTGGCTTCTGGATGTCTCCCAGAGGTCATGTCTAGTCTAGAATGTAGGTAGTCCTTACAGAAGGACTGCCAATCATCGCTGCAAAATCTGGGATCTCTGTCGCTGACAATGGAGGTTGGGCACCCATGGACATTTACCCACCTCTCACAAAAGAGCTCTCTGACCAGAGGTACTCTGGCCTCAGCAGGTAAGGGGATAAACTCAGCATACTTAGAGAATCGATCAACACAAACCATTACCTGTCTCATCCCACGCGGCGTAGTCTTGCCCAGGTCTGTGAAGTCAATGGACACTGACTCACCTGGACCATCAGGGATAGGTAGAGGTTTGAATAGTCCCATAGGAGGCCGCCTGTGGACCTTATTCCTTTGGCACAACTCGCAGGATATCGTCTTTCATCTTAGACCAATAGAAGCGTTGGGTCAGGGCAACATACGTCTTTAAGAACCCAAAGTGTCCGCGAGCATCATGACTCTCTGAGATCAGATGAGTAATGATCTTGCGATCATTAGGGATGCACAGACGCTCTTCCCCCTCGCTGATTGTGTACAGCAAGCCAGAAGTCAAGGCATAGCCTGACTCAGAATTGGGGTCAGCCTGTAGATTCCTAAGAATAGGGCCAAAGACTGGGTCCTGAGGCAATGCATCAGCGATGGTCTGTCTGGTGGAATCAACAAAGGAGTAAGTGTCAACAATGGCAGCAAATGAATCAGGTCTACGGGACAACGCATCAGCAACCTTGTTATAGCATCCCTTCTTGTGCTTCAGTTCAAAGTCAAATCCGTCAATGAACTGAATGTACCTTCCCAGTTTATCATTTAACTCACCTTGGGTCTTCATCCACTGTAGAGTGGAGTGATCAGAATAAATCTTGAAGTGTCTCCCAAGCAAGAAATGTTTCCACTGTTTAAGGGCACAGACGAGAGCATACAATTCCTTTTCATAAGTAGATGCCTGAATTCTCTGCACCTTTATTTTCTTACTCATGAACTCCACTGGCTTCAGACCAGTCCCATCATCTTGCTGAAGGACTGCACCAACGCCATATTGACTTGCATCTGTGGTCAGCACAAATGGCAAGGTAGGGTCAGGCAATTTCAGCACAGGTTCTTGGGTGAGTGCTTTGTTCAATCTGGAGAAAGCTAACTGACAAGTGGTTGTTCACCTGAAGGGAACATCCTTAGCTAGCAGATTTGTCAGGGGTGTAGCAATAGAGGAAAAGTTTCTGATTAACTTCCTGTAGTAAGAGGCTAACCCCATGAAAGATCTGATGTCCCTCACTGTTTGTGGTTGTGGCCATTCCCTGACAGCAACCACTTTAGAGGCATCAGGGGATAAACCATCTGCAGAAATCACATGACCTAAGTATAAAACAGAGGAAACACCAAATGATGATTTCTCTTTGTTCAGTTTATACTGATGTTCTCTCAGGACCTGCAGAACTTTCCTGAGGTGGTCTGCATGTTCCTTGGCATCTTTGTTGAAAACCAGAATGTCATCCAGGTACACAACAACAAAGCGCGGTCAAGGAAGGGTCTGAAAATCCTATTCATTTCAGTTTGGAATGTCCCTGGTGCATTACACAAACCAAAAGGCATGACCAGGAACTCATAGGTGCCATACCGGGTCTTGAAGGCTGTCTTGTGCACATCCTCTTCAGCCATTTCGATCTGATGATACCCGRATTTC